TTTAAAAAAATAAAATAAAAATAAAAAAATAATAAAAATCGGTTTTCTCCATTTCTCCATGCCTCCAAAGAGAACATACAAAGAGCCACTAAATACATTTTAATGCTCCACATCATTAGTCATTAGGGAAATGCAAATCAAGACTACAGTGAGATACCACTTTATACCCAATAAAATAGCTATAATCAAAGACAGACAATAATAATAAGTGTTGACAAGGATGTGGAGAAACAAGGCCCCAGAGAGAGTTGGTAGGAATGTGTACAATGGTTCAATGATGTTGGAAAACTGTCTGGCAGCTCCTTAACATGTGAAACAGAGAGTTACCATATGACCCAGGAACTCCACTCCTACCACCCGAGGTATATTAGGTATGCCTTGGGATACCCATACTTAGATACATCAGCCAAGAGAAATGAAAGCATGTCTGCACAGAAACTTGTACACAGATATTCAAAGCAGCATTACCAGTAATAGCCAAAGAGTGAAAACAACTCCAATGTCAGTCAACTGATGAATGGATAAACAAAATATGGTGTAGCCACAACTAGGAATGTTATTCAACAATAAAAAGGTCTGAAGCACTGATAGAGGCAACAACCCGGATGAAACCTCTTCCTAAGTCAGAGAAGCCAGACACAAATGACCACGTATTATATGATTCCACTCGATACAAGCTCTAAAAATCATTTGTGCACTTTAACTGGGTGTATATTTACAGTATATGAATTAGATCTCAATAAAGCTGTTCAAAAATCTATACAGGACAAAAATAGCCATGTATAAATTATCTGTAAACCTAGGATTTTTAAACATTAAATCCTAAGATTATACTATCATGGGAAAAAAGACAAATATGAAAGAAACTAACCTACTCAGTACTACTGAAACCTGGACAATGAAAGAAAGAGTTAAGGGAAATGGTCTGTGAGGAAGTAAGGTAAGATAAAACTTAAAACAAGAGTTACCTCGTGTGTCTAATATCATCCAAGGCAGGGAGTGGCCAGGCCAGATACTCACCTATCTCATTCCGTTGGCAGGTGTATCCCTTTAGTAGAGATGAATTAATTATACGATCACACATGATATTTATCATAAATATCATTTTACAAACTCCACTTGCTCTGATTTCAAACTCACCAGGCCACTTCTCTAATTGTAAACTTCCCACAGACTTATCTGATAGGATTGTGATGATCAGCCGATTCTGGTATATAGTTCATTAGAAATTAGTAAATTAATCCCCTGGTTTAGATTCATCACTAATGATATTGGTTAGTATGAACCAATCCTCATGAGACTTATGAACTTTGGTTGCTTTTAGCAAACTATTTCTCAGCCTACAAAGTTCATGACCAATGACTCTCAACCATGGGGACATTCCCAAAACAGGACTCCTAAGAGATTAATGCACTGTATACTTCAGGCAGAGGTGGGGAAAGTAAGGTTCCCTAGCCTCTCCCATCTCCACTGACAATCACTGCTAGATTAAGCCACTGTCATGGATATGGGAGTGCATGGTCTTGGGTAGGTTGGCATGCCCTGGACTGAGAGCCTTCCACCAAGATCCTACCAGCCTCTGAGGCCCAGACTGAGCAACAACCTAGCCTTCCTCAGTGCACCTCCATCTCAGCTCTAACTTCCATACTTTCAGATCTCCACATTCTATTATGTTATCCAATCTGACCTCACTTTACAGATGAAATAGTGGGACCCAGAGAGTTTAAGAATCTTACCTAAAATCACCCAGCTAATTAATGGCAGAGTAAGAATCCGAACCAGAGTCTTCAGATTCCCAGCCCAATGCTTTATTCATTCTGTAGCGCTGCCTTTGTTTCAGGCCATTTGAATGCTCAGCTTGCATTTGTGGAAATTCCCTTACCCCCTGCTGAGCAACCTCCTTCTTATGCTGGAGGCAGTGCTTCAGGCCCTTACGGTATTCTCACAGGCTATTTAACACCCTCATTTATAAGTCAGGTCCCAAGATTTTTTTGAATTTTAAAAAAATCCTATAAAATTTCACATCTTTATATTCATTGACTATCTCTGCAAGAATACATTAGAAGTCAGTGACAGAATCCAGGGGCGCCTGGGTGGCTCAGTCAGTTAAGTGTCTGACTCTTGATTTCAGCTCAGGGCATGATCTCAGGGTCATGGGATCCAGTCCCGTGTGGGGCTTCCTGATCAGCCAGAAGTCTGCTTCTCCCTCTGCCTGGCGCTCCCCCCCACTTGTGCTCTCTCTCTTGCTCTCTCTCTGACAAATAAATAAATAAAATTAAAAAAAAAAAAAAAGTCTGTGACAGTCTCCGGTAAAGAACTAAAAGCCAACTAGAGGAAGAGACACTTTCCATGAAATACCTTTTCAGTATTATTGGAATCCTTACCATATTCTTTTATTGCCCATATAAAAACATAATTTTTAAAAAAGCCATGCCATGAAAAGGCCTACAAAATCCCAACATGTATACCATATACCTATCACACACAGCATTCTCATTGAAAAGAATAAACATTACCAAATATCTGAGCCACCTTTATTTTTTTCCAGTGTTAGAAAGGATTGCTTATTTCACACCCTTCACCTGACAACTTTACAGATAATGTGAGCAGAATGCTAGGTGGTTCCCTGCTTAGAGGCAGCCCATCTGACGGAGAAGAATGCTGAGACAGCCACCTATAACTGCTTAGAAGTTTGTTGCCATTTTCCTGCAAGGTTGTGAAAAACTAGATTTGCTTAAAATGTCCCTCAGTCTCTTTATAAAGATTTTATTTATTTATTTTTAGAGAGAGAGAGTGCAGTGGGGGAGGGGCAGAGGGAGAAGGAGAGAGAGAATCTCAAGCAGTCTGCTGAGCACTGGCTCCAAGCGGAGCTCAATCACACAACCTTGAGATCACGATCTGAACTGAAATCAAGAGTTGGATGCTCAAGCGACTGAGCCACCCAGGTGCCCCTCCCTCAGTCTCTTTAAAGGAAGCCAGGTGAAGGGAGCCTACAGCTGCTATATTAACCTCCCCAGTGGTTTCAAGGAAGTCTATCTATAAAAAGCCCTAATGGGCGCCTGGGTGGCTCAGTCGGTTAAGCGTCTGCCTTCAGCTCAGGTCATGATCCCAGGGTCCTGGGATCGAGTCCCGCATCGGGCTCCCTGCTCAGCGGGGAGTCTGCTTCTCCCTCTGCCTGCCGCTCCCCCTGCTTGTGCTCTCTCTGTGTCAAATAAATAAATATTAAAAAAAAAAAAAAGCCCTACTGCCAGGCTCCCCCAGGACAGGTCACCCACGCCAGGGTCTCCAGCCTTTGGAGCCCAAGCACCCTGGGGAACCCTAAGCCCGTAAGTAGATTTCACCGACACTCGCCAAGATGCGTGGAGGGTGGGCTCTGTACACCGGCTATGCGGGCATTCCCGCGGGGGCCCACGGACAGGCAAGCTCTGTCCTGTGTGTGTCATCTGGACGCAGGGAGAGCCCGGGGCGGCTGGGGCCCAGAGGGCTGGGCCCACGGGTCCCTGTCCACAGTGGCCAGCCCTCTGGGGCCCTCACGGGGGGGGGGGGGGGGGGGAGAAGCTGTGAGGGTCATGTGCCCAGCCAGGTGGCTCCAGACGGCTCTGGACTGGCTGTGGCCACTGATACTGTTATTTAGACCCTTAAGCCACACCTAGGCGTCTGGAGCTGGGCGTCTGGAGCCACACCTAGGCGGCTGCTCCTCTCTGCACACACATGAGGCGGGCCAGGGGCCTGAGGAGGACGATGGAGGCTATCACAGCCACCTAGAAGCCAGAGGTCTCCTATGGTGGCAAAGACTTGCATACAGGGATCCCCGAAGACCACTGGGCAACGCTCCCCTTCCAGGCGCAGTTGAGGAGGCGGGAGCCCACCAGCTGGTGACTTGAGGGGCAGTGGAACGCAATGACAGCCCATTAGCAACATCGCCATGAAAGACCTCCAAGGTGCCATGCGGGGGTGGCCATACATGAGCACGAGCACCAGAGCCTTCCCGGGGCGGGCATGGCATTCCAACCCGCCAGGGCCTCACCCTACAGAGGGTGGCCCTGCACATCCCTGCATGCCACGCAACGACCTCTTTCCCAGTTTTTAAGGATTCCACCTTTCAAGCAAATTATTACACTAGAAGTCCCATTATTCATTCCAACATTAGACAAAACTTTAGAGGTATGTCTAGGCACTTACAGAGTCTAGACACTTTGTTAATGATCCTACATAGGTAGACTCAAGCTATAGGACGTCCTGAATTAAAAAACATGCATATGAAACTGCACAAAAGAAAGCAATAGATGTTGGGTATAGGTTCTAAACTGACTAACAATGATGATCATAGCAAATAACGATGTACAACTGTTCATTTATTTCTTCCTTCATTCAAATATTTAGGGAAGGATTAGTATGTGCCCAGCCCTTGCTAGGAACTTCTGATATAATGGTCATCACAAGTAGACTTGGCTCCTGTGCTCATGGTGCTTAGCCTAGTGGAGGAAACAAACACAAAACAAATCACTGAAAAACAGAATTAATATGTAGCTGAAAATTAGGACCCAATGTTGTGAAGAAAATTGTGCTATAAGCAGTTGAGGCTTTAAGCAGCCCAGCAGCATGTTCAGATCTGCATTTTAGAATAAGAAAAAAATCTTGTACTTAAATGAAATTACAGTGCAGGGAGGTATGTAAGGCAGCAGGACCAAATTACTACATAGAAATACAATGTTAACATTCTTCTAATTCTTAGGAAAGGTGCCAAGGAATTTTCAGTGATTAGAAATCCAAGGCCAGTTTTATGGCTGTGCTCCTGGAAGCACTTTGGTCTTGCAGAGCCCAGGGCCTTGGTTCAGCCAATACTACCTCCAGACACTGCTTAGTAACATCAAAGTCTTTTGCTTTCCTGCCTTTTTTCCAGGACCCTGCCGAGATGTCACAGTCAAAACTATCAGCATCATGGTCAGTATAGCTGTCCACTTACTTCAAAACAGGAGGGAGACTCCTGATTTACTCACCTGATTATCAAGCTTCAGCTGTCGAAGCTTCATGGTCTCATCTTCAAAGGCACTGTTTAAAAAAAAAAAAAACGAAAAAGAAAAAAGCATGTAAAGAGAAAATTCTGTTACAACTATATCAATTTCATCTTTTCCATATATCTACTCCTTTGGGCTGTTTGGAACCAATGGAAAGCATCCGTGTCTAGATGTTACCCACATCTGCAGGAGGACTTGCCATCCTTAATGCCACACTTATTCTACAGAGGACCTCAGGAGACTGAAATACCCAAAGAGTAGAAAATGATGTAGTATGGCACGAGAGTGGCTCAGTCAGTTAAGAGTCTGACTCCTGATTTCGGCTCAGGTCGTGATCTCAGGTTTGTGAGATCAAGCCCCACATGGGCATAGAGCCTGCTCAAGATTATCTCTCTCCCTATCCCCCTGCCCTACCCCCCTCAAATAAATAAATAAATCTTAAAAAAAAAAAAAAAAGATGTAGAACACAGACCCTCACGCATGCAGGGATTTTTTTTTTTAAACCGTATGTTGAGTACTTACTATAGGCCAGGCACAGTGAAGTACCTTACATGCACTATTTTATTAATTCCTCAAAACAACACTCTGAATTAGGTACTATTATTTTTCACACTTTGAAGCTGGACAAACAGACTTGGAGGTCCACGCATAAGGTTAAGCAGCAGAAACAGACCGTAATCCAGGTCTTTTTCCAGAGTCTAAATTCCACCTAAAATTCAAATACATTTGTCTTCTTTTTTGGAGATAGTTCTAGGAAAGAGAGAATGAGACTATAAAGGGGCTCAGGGCAGGCTGCTCCCAGATATGTCAAAGTGGCACACTGATAATTCTCAAGTAAAGTTTACTCGAGAAACAGTCAATGCAGGCACATTCTGACACTCCTCTTTGTCCCCCTGAAAGCAGGAAATAAATTTCCCATGTGAAAGGTGCCCTCCCTGTACCAGGAGGTAAAGAAACATCCTTATCACCAGAGACAGAATTCAAAGCCTAGAAGTCAGTGTACACAAACTCTGTTTAATTTCATCACTAATTAGTACCCAGGACTAAGTTTCTTTGTCTTTTCAGTTCTTCACAAATTTATTGTTTCTTTTTCTAAAAGGTATATAAACCACCTGCTTTGGTTATTTCTCAGGCCCATATCTACAAGACCTCCATACATGCAAAATTAAAATTCTTTTTCTCCTGTTAATGTCTTGTCAATTTAATTATTAGACCAGTCAAAAGAACCAAGATGGGCAGGGTAAAAATCTCCCCCACCCCCACAGCTGTGTATGGTGTCTTTTTTTTTTTTTTTTAAGATTTTATTTATTTATTTGACAGAGAGAGACACAGTGAGAGATTGAACACAAGCAGAGGGAGTGGGAGAGGGAGAAGAAGGCTTCCCATGGAGGAGGGAGCCCGATGCGGGGCTCGATCCCAGGACTCTGGGATCATGACCCGAGCCGAAGGCAGATGCCTAGCGACTGAGCCACCCAGGCGCCCCTGTGTATGGTATCTTGCTACAGCCCACTGATTTCCTTAAGATCTAGGCAAGTCATTTAACTTATTTTCCAAGTTTGCCATTAATAACACATGGTGCCAGTCATGCAAGGACACTCTAAGTATGGATGAACAGACAAGACTTAACACCACTAGGAGACAGATTTGTTTGGTGGAAGAAAACAACGACAAAAATGGAATCAAATTACTGTCTCCAAATCCTTTTGAACTTTTCAAAAACTCTCTCAGAAGCTGTTTCTATTTTTGAAAATTTTCTAATTTAAGATTTTATTTTGTGACTCAGCGTTCTTGGAAAGAGTAGAGTATGAAACAAGGCAGAAATGGTTCTCAATTATTATTATTATTGTATTATAAATTTTTACTGGGAACCTTCTGTCAGAAAAACTATAAATACAAGGTCCTATTTAAGAAGACAAATTCCATGGCTACAAAAGGAAGCATGGCTTTTCTTGCATTTGAGGTAAAAATACCAAAGCATCTATCCATGGCTTAATGGTTTACCACTACCTTCACGTATTTTAGAAGGTGTTATGCATTTTAACAATGCATAGCAACTTGGAATTTACATACTATCTCCAAGGCTCCTCCTGCCTACTAACCTGTAAGCACATTTAATAATCCCTTAGATATACAGATGACATTCTGGTTCTCTGACAGTTCCCCTTTATTAATTTCCTTATAAACCATATGCTTAAAAAAAAAAAAAGCTGGGTATTCAAAATAAGTCATCTCCTTTTCCCAGTTCAAAAGAGGGACAAATGGGGGCGCCTAGGTGGCTCAGTCGTTAAGCGTCTGCCTTGGGCTCAGGTCATGATCCCAGGATCCTGGGATCGAGCCCCGCATCGGGCTCCCTGCTCCGCGGGAAGCCTGCTTCTCCCTCTCCCACTCCCCCTGCTTGTGTTCCCTCTCTTGCTGTGTCTCTCTCTGTCAAATAAATACATAAAATATTTTTTAAAAAAGATTTTATTTATTCATTTGACAGAGAGAGAGAGAGCATGAGTTGGTGGGGGGAGAGGCAGATTCCCCACTGAGCCGGGAGCCCAATGTGGGGCTCAATCCCAGGACCTGGAGATCATGACCTGAGCCAAAGGCAGACGCTTAACCAGTTGAGGCACCCAGGCGCCCCTCAGCTCAGGTGTTGATCTCAGGGTCGTGAATTTCAGTCCTGTATTGGGTTTGCTCTGGGTGTGGAACCTACTTTATAAAAAAAAAAGAGGGACAAATAAACAAATAAAAATGTCATATATGATATATACAGGCCTTGATTTCGTGGGCCCCTAACATTTCTCCTAGATATGTTCCTGTTTTCCTTAGTGTTTTTAACCCTAATTCACATATTTTAAAATCTTAGCTTTATGAATATAGTGCTAGAATGTTATTAGTATTCAGTGGATATTAGTATAAATTTGAAAAAATTCTACATAAAACAGCTAAGATGCGGCACCTGGGTGACTCAGTTGGTTAAACGTTGGACTCTTGGTTTCGGCTCAGGTCAAGATCTCATGGGTCGTGAGAGCCCGTGAGCCTGTGTGGAGCTCTGCACTCAGCAGGGAATCTGCTTGAAGATTCTCTCTCTCTCCCCCTTTGCCCCTCCCCCCATAGTCTCTCTCTAAAATAAATAAATCTTTTTCTTTTTAAAGAAAATGATTAAGACAAAAAATTATGAATATAAATATATATAGGGTAACATGGTATAAAATGCACTGTTATGTACTAGTATTTTCAACAGCTACTATGAATCTTGTTTTTCCTCTACCTCACTCTGCTCTCAACACTAAACCAGAACTGCAAAATCCCCTGGCATGTAAAAGAAATCATCTTATCCCACCCCCTCACCCCATCCCTCCACACACACACACACACACACACACACACACAATGCTAAAACCTCCTCAATCATGGTAAATTCTGACACACAACTAAAGTCCTCAAACATTTCTCTTAAGGCCTCTAATAGTGAGGAAACCAGCTGTATCTTCAATTCCTATCTTGACACCACTTAATTCCTTCCATCAAGCCTAGGCAAGCTGAACAATTTAAATAAACAGGTTTTGTTTTGACCTGAACCAAAGAGGCACTAAGAAGATGCTATATAATTGTAACATTTAGATACTTCCTATACATCAAAAGCTATACTTTCTTTGAGCTCTAGTTTTAAATTATAATTTAGCAGAAATAACAGATATTTTATATACTTATATTAATCTGAACTAGAATTTCTAGTCTAACCTGGAATATGATCTTATAAAATTTGCATTTTTTTCCTTTAATTTTCTCTACTTCCTTTCAAATGAAGTTGTTTAATAGCAAGCCTGACCAAGGCCGGTTAGTAAAGCAACACAAAACAGAAAGAATTCCTACAGAGTAAAAGAAATGGAATTACTGTATTTCCTCCCATTTTTCTCATGGAAAATTTCCTATTTACTTGATACAAACAGGGAAAATCCTAAACATACATTTTAGAAAAACCAATCCAACATTCGAGGGTGGCATATATTTATGCCCATAGAACACGATTCTCTTGAAGTACTCTCCATTATATATATGTGCATCATATATATGTATCATATAGCATAATATATATTTACCATGTATAATGCAATGCTCATCATGATAAGTATAGTCACCATATCTCTCACCATAGAACATTATTACATTTTCGACTATATTCTCTATGCTATACTTTTTATCCTCGTGACTTATTTTATAACAAGATGTTTGTATCTGTTAATGCTCTTCACCTATTCACCCTATTATTTCTTTTTTTTTTTTTTAAAGATTTTATTTATTTTTTAGAGAGCGAGAGAGAAACAGCATGAGAGGGGCAAGGGTCAGAGGGAGAAGCAGGCTCCCCGCTGAGCCGGGAGCCCGATGTGGGACTCGATCCCAGGACACTGGGATCATGACCTGAGCCGAAGGCAGACGCCTAACCATCTGAGCCACCCAGGCGCCCCACCCTATTATTTCTTTAATTGAAAGGATTTTTGAGATAATATTGTGTTACAACAAGATTGTTGGTGCCATACACTTTTTGTACAATTTTTTCTTTCTAGTGTTTTTCTTCATCGATTATAAAAACAATGCATACCCATTTTATAAATTTTGAAAAAAATTATAAAGAAAATGAAAGTCTCTTTATAATCCTACCATCTTGAGATATAATCCCTGCTAACAAGGAAACAAACACCTTTAAGAAAATTTCTATACATTTTTATATATTTGAAATAATATTTATGATTTTGTACCATTTTAACTCAAGATTATATCATAAGCATCTTTTATGTTATTATATAGGTTTTTGAAATATAATATTAAATGGCTATATAATAGTCTATCACATGGACTTTCCATAAATTTTTTTCTTCTTTTTTTTATTATGGTAAAGACATGTACCATAAAATGGAACATTTTAACCATTTTTAAGTGGACAGTTCAGTAGTGTTGAGTACATTTACATTGTTGTTTGCATACAAATTTTTATAGCATCATTATTCACAAGAGCCCAAAAGTAGAAACCTCTCAAGTGTCCATCAA